TCAACTTTCTTGCTTTGCTTATGGCATTTTCGTTGCTTCCAATTTAAAGAACCAAAAACTTGAATTCAAAAGAATTGAAACGTGTAAAAGCAAATAGAAAACACAAATAGAATGAGCAAGAACTGCTTTCAAGTACTTGAATCATGTAAATCGGGTGTTATACATCAAGTGGAAAATTGTCGGTCAATCGAAGCAAAACATCGATACTTTCGATGCATCGATGTTTTTTCGACATCCTTACTGCTGAATCTTTGAAAATAATTACAATTCGAATAGCGCGTAAGATGCAGAATTCGTAAAAAAGTAAAGAAAATGGCAAATTGGACTAAAAATCAACCATCAGGTAGTGCAACTCGAAGAAAGTGGAATTTAGAAGGTACGCAACTAAATGTGTTTCCCACGTAAAGTTATATACTGGCGTTATTTTGATTAGATCGTACTTCGTTAAATAATTTGAAGTATCATATAGCGGCAGAGGGTTGTTCTGAGGTGCAGTATGACTTGGCCAAGCAATTGCTAGACAAAGACAAAACAATAGGTATGTTTTGCATAAACTCTGAATATTTTCACATTTAGGCTCTTCTCGTTATAGAACAAAATGAAGCTACGTCGAGCCAACAGGCAATACACTGGTTACTTCGCGCAGCACAACAGGGACATGAAGACGCAACTAAGCTCCTACAACAATGCTTTGACGAAGGTTGTGGCATCACCACCGAAAACGAATCTGAGGTCCGTTGTTGCTTATCAATGACACCAGGTGAGCGTGCAGCTCGCAAAGCTGCTCGGGAACTATTTTCCTGTCTCTCTAATGGTGGTGAACACATAACTCCACGCCAACTTGAGCGAAAAATGCGTGAGATTTATAATATTCAAAAGAAACGCCGGCGTCATGGATATTCAACATCTACATCGGAGGAGGAAACCGAGGATGAATGTACGAATAGTCGACGTGAACCATTAACAGACGCTGCTACCATTGGTAACGGGCATGTTAATTTGCATCAACGGCACCGACAACATAGACGGCGTGTTACGTCTTACTCAAAAGAGACATCAGCAACTCCAGTGCGTGTTATAACAGAAGAAAATCTGGTATCCGCTGCAGTCAACTACGCCGCGGGTCGTATGCCTGCAGTAAACGACGATTTAACACTGTCTGTACCTCACCCAGCGACGTTGGATCATGTGCCATGCTTCCATCGGCTGCTATTCCATCCAATACTATTTTGTACTTTACTCTATCACCGTTTGGTAAATTTTATAGCCACATTTCCGAAAACTATACCACCTAGCATACGCATGGCTTTACTGTTCGCGTTTTACTGGCTAGCAACAAATGATAATCTGACGGTATTTTTGCCATTAGGATTTTACTATCTCTCTTTAGCTATCATGATCTGTTCCACATGTAAAATGCTTAAGACAAAGCAAGATTTCATCGATTTTCGCATATGGTCGGGCCTATTCTTAAGCTACGGAGATCATAACGTCGAGGCTGACCTTTCGGAAAACCTATTCCTAAAGAATAATCTTAAACCCTATCTGTATTTCTTTTGTGCCTTCATTGGAAATTTAATTGTATCACCGTTGATAGCAAACGGCTGGCTCCCGCATTCTGAATTGACTATTACTTCATGCATTTTTGTTTTTACATCGCTTTTAGCGTTTATGTACTCCTCAGCTCGCAGTTTTCCTGACTGGATTGTGCTCGTTTCCTTCGGCGTAAATGTGCTTGCCAAATACCCTTATGAAATGGACGATGTTGTTGCAACAGGTTGGCGTTTTTTGGATCTCAAAGTACCTACATTTTGTTCCTTTGTAATTGGTAATGGCATTGAATTCTGCCTAAACTGTCGCACTGCGTTGTATTTACTTATTCCGGTGTTATTGATTCATCTGGCTGCACGCAATCATTGGCGTGGAATCTACACACACCTTATACCTCATTGCGTGACGTTGAGTTGGCTACAATTATGTATCACCACATCGCAGAGTGCCACCATGTTCGGCATGGTGAGAGCAACACTAGGTTTAGCTGGCATATTGCTCTTCCTACCCTTGTTTGGATTGGTTTCGTTGCTGATTCCAGTATTTGTGGCAATTGATTGGATGGGATTCACTGATCCAGGCATACGTTTGGGCAGCACACTTGCAGCGGCTGTACTTGCATTACTTGGATCATGCTTTTTAGCATTGAATAGAAGAACGCAGAAATACATAACTGTTTTACAGGTAAATCAATATAATGTCGATACTAATTATGTAATAAGTAAACTAATACTCATTTAAAAAATTGGAATCAGGTTGTCGTTTGCATTATAGCTGCTTGTATACTTACATTACCCTACATGACTGCTAATTTCAAGGATTCACCGCGCTTTGGAAATGTAATATCTCTCGATAAACATGTACCTGCAATCGATAGCTTAGGAAACAGCCTCAACGTGGTAGAGGGAACAGATTCAATCCGTGACAACGAAGAGGAGCATATTCCACACATTTCGGGCCCTCTCAGTTGGCAACGTTTCTATACCCTTTGCGGTCAACCAGCTGCTGAAAAAAATAATAAAATCAAGACTCAACTACGTTGCGCCCACTTGGAAGGTATGGCTGTGGTATGGACAGGTACTGTAACTCAGGTGAAAATCAGTCGAGTAACAAACATACGTGCCGAATACATAAATAAATATTTACCACCATGGTTGAGTCGCTTGATACGTTGTTTCTATGGTACACGCCTAAGCGATCAACTACAGTGCACCATCGAACTGAAGGATACACATTGCATGGATATGCAGCGTTTGCTAAAACTTAGCGAATTGCAAGATTCTTGCTCGTTACATGACTGGAATTCGTATGAATATGAAATACATGTACGCATGCCCACACAAGGCCTTCTGAGTAAGAGTGCGGATATTGTGCTGCAGGCCAATCATAAATTCAGCAATTTCACAAAATCTTTAATGGCAGAGGATCGCATTCAATTCTATGGCACTCTGCAAAATAGCCGACCGCCGTTGGCTAATGGTATGCGCGATCGGGAGGATTTTATTTTAGGCGCTTCTCATGCTCGCATACAGTTATTGGCAGTTAAATGTTTATTGTGCGAGGAAAAAACACTCAAGTCAGTTAGTGTGGAGCGTAAATCGCCCCTAACTGCACGAATGCGTGATCTTATGCGAGGGATTAAATACCTGTTGAACGTATTATTAAATCCACTTATAACATTCAAATAATTGTACAAACTACACATAATGGTATATGAATATATAGTGCATTAATATGTAATATAATATTGCTTCGGATACTCACTACACAACCATGGCAAATGAGTTATATATTCATACATACAAATTTACTTACAAACTTGTTACAACGGAAAATCGAAAATAAAAGGAAATGAAGTACATATATGTAAACATATGCATCCGAGTCTAATTTCGCAATATATGTATACATAAGGCTGATTATTACTGTTATATCGTAACCTAAATATATGTACAAAGGTTTTAAGTAATATATTTTTTTTTAATTCAGCTTTGTACAAAGGTCGATAGTTACTCACTAATAAAATAATAATAATAATAATAGAATTTAAAAGCAGTAACTACATAATAACACAGTTTCCCCCTTGTGAATTAGTTAGCAATTTAGGTAGGTTTTAGGTGGTAAGCCACGAAAAAATATGTCATAAAAAAATTCCATCGAGTAAATTTACACAGAAAAATAATTCCATCATTTTTAATGGTGTTACTAGCGGTAATTTCGAAATTATGAAAAAATCTTTCGTTTCTTTAAGTGTTGACTGTTGGGTTTTCAAGTAAAAATTCAATTTAAATGTAGTTAACTTTTGTTTTTTAAAGAAAATCGTTAAAATTCTAAAATATGTATTTCATCTACATATAAAAAATAAATCCCAACGTGCTAGAAAAATACGTAAGGTGTATTTTATGTTGTTGTTTACAGTTACTCACAGAAGTATTCGTTGTTTAGTTTTTTTCACGATATTCGAAATGTCTTTCATTAGCTCTGATCCAATACTTTTCGTGTTAAATCCTGTAAAAATGTCAAACAGCAAAATTACTCTCTGAAGTGAGAATAAAAAGTGAGTAATAACAAAAAGTACGGGAACAAAAAAAGCATTTTTCCTTTAAAAACGTCAACTCAAGGCGAATTATAAATTATAAATGGTGTTACTGGCGAATTTAGATTAAAACAACGACAACCACAAGGCGAATTTATACAAGGTGGTGTTGATGGCGAATTCAGATTTTCGCCGCGGTACTTCCTAATATCAAAATGATGTATTTGTTGTAAACAAGGCGAATTCATATTACAACAAACACACTATTTTGACATTAATAAGTACCGCGGCAAAAATCTAAATTCGCCATCAACACCACCTTGTATAAATTCGCCTTGGACAACCATATGTATCAAGGCGAATTGATACATATGGTTGTCCAAGGCGAATTTATACAAGGTGGTGTTACTTGCGAATTTAGATCTTCGCCGCGGTACATCCTAATACCAAATGATGTGTTTGTTGTAAACAAGCCGAATTCATATTACAACAAACACATCATTTTGACATTCAGTAGTACCGCGGCGAAAATCTAAATTCGCCATCAACACCACCTTGTATAAATTCGCCTTGATATGTATTTTGTATGGAGGGTGTTATTTCAAATCTCAAAGTTTACATGTATTCATGTGGTTGTCGTTGTTGTAATCTAAAGTCGCCAGTAATACCACCTTGTATAAATTCGCCTTGGTTTTACCAGAAGAAAAAGTTCGGATAAAATTAAGGCGAATTTATACAAGGTGGTGTTGATGCCGAATTTATATTTTCGCCGCGGAACTTCCTAATGTCAAAACGATGTGTTTGCTGTAAACAAGGCGAATTCATATTACAACAAACACATTATTTTGACATTAAGAAGTACCGCGGCGAAAATCTAAATTCGCCATCAACACCACCTTGTATAAATTCGCCTTGGGTAATGAGTCAATATGGCGGAATTAGAGCGAGAAGTTGCCAACCGATAACACCTTGTATTATTGCAGCATGCTTTCTGCCAAACCACTTATACATGTGGAAATATTCAAATGGTCAATTTGCAATGTGGAAAAGTTATAAAGAATTAGTGTCCCTAATTATGTTGCCACCACTGTACATACTTACGTACATGAATATTGTATGGTTGCAAGGAGTATTTAATACCCCTTGGCATGACCCCTTGGTATGGTTGCATACGAGAATGATAGAATTGGTCGCTATTGTATGGTACTTATCAGTTTTCCCTTTTATTTTTTATTCGGTTGTCTTCGCTTGCTTTGTCAATTGTGTTTTGCCTGTCGATAGACAAAAGTATTCATATGCGGAAATATAGTATTAAACACTTGGATGTGAACAATTCAGAAATAAAATGTCTGCAAAAGGAAACAACGGCAGTTACAAAGTGCTTATGCAGTTGTGGTCAAATGAATTAACAAATGATGATAATCCCCCAGCGTTTTATCTGAGCCGTCCGAATATACGCGCCGTCTACACTTCCAATTATGGCGAAACTACTGATGATGTACACTTATTACACTTTAAAGAACCAAAGAGTACAGCATATCCTCTTGACTTGAATAAGGGATTCCATCAATTCATTTTCCGCCAAAAAAGTAAACCAAGTCAAGAATTGGCTAAAGTCCAAAAATTTGTATTGGAGAGCAAAGATAATGTGTTGAAACCAAATGCCTCAATCCCGGATGCGGAGTTCCGAAATGAACCGCAGGCAAAATCAAAACGAAAAGTGGTGCTAGGCCAACGGGGAGTACTGACTCGTATCATGCTCGTTCCATATCGATTGACCCCATCGGAATATAACAGTTACACATTTTCGGCTACCAGGTACTGTGGTATTCTGCATCTCACTGACGTTGATTGGAGAGATGAGCCGAACAAAAACGGCTCATATCACGGAAAGTTTGCCCAATCCTGCTTTTCCGGTTAGTATCAGCATGGGAAATGAATGCACTTATGTACATATGTATATAAATTTATTTGTATTTTTAAAGGAATAGAATTTTAGAAATTTTTAGAGCGGTTTGAAGCTGCAAAGACCAGACGAAAGGGCGTAACACTTTGCGCATATCGAAACAGAAAAAGCTTGATCGAGTTGCAATCACAACCGAAGTGTTGAGCGAATCTTTAAAATATCACGTTCTGTGTGCAAATTTTCAGCAGTAGGACAAAAACGCCTCTTTTATTATATGCCTCGAACAGGCTAAAAGTTTAAGGATTGAATTCTTAAATTGCAAATATGTAATCGTAATTATCTGAACTCTTTACAAATAAGGCTTGTTCGAGTTGCAATCAAAACCGCATTGTTGAGCGAATTAATAAAGCATCACGTTAGCTGTGAATTTCTAGCAGCGTTTTACCAATTTGGAAGTTACAAGCAAAATTTTTTCCAGCCAGTTAACTTTCCTATATTTCCGCTGGTTATAAGGATGGCGGGCGAAAAAAATGCAACTGCTTCCTTAGCAAACTAGTTAAAAAATGCCAGTTTTTACTTTTCGCTTGTTTTAAGTACTTTAATTTGATCGAATAATTAAAAAAATCGCAAGGCCTAATTTTGGATAAAAAAATATTTTGAATAACTTTTTTTTTTAATTATAGATGATCCCGATCTGGACCCTATTACCAGTGTGCCTGTGGATGAGAACAACATAACTTTCTGCGTTTATCATACTACAATGAAAGAATTTGATTTGATCTATTCAGCAGAAATCAATGGTATAATTTCGGATCACAAGATCGCTGACATGTAAGTCTATAACATGGTGTTCTTTTAAACAGACAAATTTGTCCTTCGTATATATGTATATACGAATATTTTTATCCACTGCTTTATATGAACAAACAAAAACGAATGTTTGTTGCCCCTTATCGAGAAACTTGGGTCCGGTTTAACTATTTGTACAATGATTTTCGGTTGTTGTGTCCAAACGCATAACCCGAATCCAAAAACTTTAACATACAAGTGTAATCAAAGGATTAATTTTGATTTAAAATAAATGTTTCAAATTTGCGAGCAATAGCTTATTAATAAATTCAGTTTGCGCTATGCACTTTTTTTGTAAATTTCGGTGTGGGTTCTGCGGAAAAATACTGTGGATGGCGTAGCCGGAGTTATATGCCTTTGACATGCGGAAGCCCCTCTTCTCCCATGAACCAATTAGAATTAGTAGTTGGATCATGCTCTTCTCCGGCAACACAGAAAGGAGAATTATACTTAGTAAGGGTTATAATCCCTAAGCGCATCCGAAGGCAGAAGCAAGAGCAACAGGCAGTGGACCCAATAAAGTGGATTTTTCAATGGCTTGGAAGAAGCTGTTATTGCATTAACTGGATTGAGAACCAGTTCTTCAGGCATAGAAGGTTGTGGTTGAACAATTCAACCAGAAGCTGACATAGATGCGCCCATGGTTACTATGCCCGACAGCTCCGCATATATTTGTGAATTCACTTCCATAACGCGCTCTTACTATGCTGCTATAATTGCAAATGCAATGGAATCCATCGTTTCCTTCAAAATATGTAAAATCAAACAATTTTACCATAAAACATCGCCTTTACAAAATTTTACTTTACGTAGTATAATTCGCAAGTAACGTGAGGTACCAATTTCCTGTAACGTGAGTTACTGTACATTATTATTTTTTGAATATCTTGAATGAAGGTGGGTTTGTAAATTTGTCATACATCAAACTGTGCGTTTAAATCTTAGAATTTTGTCTCGTATATAACCAGAGTTACCATGGAGTGATCTAAGAAACAGCAGCTATAACTTCTACCGTTTGGAAAAACAAATCGTGCTTTATAAGCTCAAAGACATTGTTAAATTAAATATTATTCGATGACAAAAAATTTATTTTTAACGATTTTATAGCAATTCTACAAAAAAAAAATATCTTCCCCATGAAAAATATACTTAACCGATTAAAAAAAAATGCGGGCCTTCTATATCCAATATTCTTTAATTTTAAAACTGGCAGCGGTAATATTCCAAAAAATATATAATATATAAAAATCCCGTTTCACTGTGTTCGGTGGACATCGTCTGCCTGGGCTAACTAGTATGACCTATATATCTTCGCCATTTTTGGGAAGGTTAGTTATACCATGTTCTGACCGACAACGAAAACACCTTGAAAACGAGTTTTGGGATTGTGGGCTGAAGGCTGTTCACACCGACTGTTGGTGTTTTTGTTGACATTTCTTTCATCCTTTCTTTACAGTTTTGTTACACAAAAACAAAACCAAAATACTTTTCCTTCAATATCTTTTCATTAACAACCTTTTACTTCCATGCTTATTTTATTTTAGTCAGCCAATTAACAATAAATCCGAAATGACGTATTAAAGATGATAAAATATGGCTTCCACTTCGATAAATAATCGAAAAAACTAGTGCAGACACCGATTGGATTGAGTGGAACGTGAGTTTTCAAGTGGTTTTCAGCGAAAACTAGTTTTCGTTTGACAGATTTTACATGGACGAAAACTCAAGTTTTAGGTCGAAAACTAGTCTTAGCAACGAAAACATGTTTTCGATGTCGGTCAGAACATGGTATTATCTGTTAGACCAGTGTTACCGTTGTGCGACTAAAGTGTCAAATTGACAACATCCAATGACAGACAAAAACATCCAGAAGTAGCTTGAATCAATGCACCGATTTTGTAGCTTAGCATTTCCCCAAGTTAGTTGTGTTAAATTTATTTTCGGGACTCGGTTAGTTTATATACAAACCTAAAATGCTAAACTTTGTTCTAATAATTGTTGTCTGAGTACTAATATTATTTTTTTGTGACTGAAGTGTTATATTGATGTAAGTACTTTTTTAACTGCAATTTTGTTTACATAATAAATTCAAAACGTGCAAATTGCATCTTTTTAATATATCCCTCATCAATAGGTTTTTAATTCAAGAGAAAATTTTTTTTTGACAAAAACTGATTATTTCCATTAGAAATTTATTACAAATAATGGGGCATACTCATAGTCGAAATAAAGTCGACTTTAATATTAGGTGCAGCTTTTTCCTCGAAAATTATGTCAAAAAGCTATAACTATGAATATGCCCCAATAAGTTTCGAAATTTAAAATAATGAAAGTCTATATATACATGGTATAAACGATTTGAATTACTTGAAGACCCTTTTTTCGGCTGTGACACTTTTTTACGACTTTCAAAAAATTTTTCAGCGGTAACACTGTGTTAGACAACGAATTATCCTTATCAAGCTTATTAATTGTATGGTGAGATCTCACAAAAAAAAAATAAATAAATTAAACGTGTTATGTGTACTTTCCATTTTTCAGTCATAACATGGATGAAGTTAACAAATGTAAATTCATTTTAACTAAACTGCTGTGGAACAAAGAACAAAGAGGAGACATTCTTAAACATCCAAAATGCTTGTTGTGGTGGCTACAGTGCTATTTGGCAAACACCAACGATATTTTCATCGGACTGAAAGATTCGGACGGTGTTGTGCGGGTTCCGGCACAGATTCAGAAAGTAAAAGATATGCCAAAGGTAAAATAGCAAAAGCAATTAAAAAATGCAATTACTAAATTAAAATATGTTTTCTTATATTTTTTAGAATCAGCATTGGAAACCGCACATTTGTATACGATTTTTACATACCCTTTTAGTTAAGATGGAAGAAGTAATGGCCAGCGTGAATTGTCCCTACACGGTCTACAAATTTGTGTATGACTCTTATTCAAGATGTATGAAATTCAAAATTTACAAAGGAAAGTCGGAATACTCTTTCTTATCTGAAAAATATATAAAACATTGCAAGGAAAAAACGAAGCACGAATAATTTTGTTTAAAAACTTCAAAGTTATTTTTACAATGCATTTTAACATGTTATTACTAATCTAGTTAATGAGTAAACAACGTTTATTCATATACGCAACAATCTCATTATAAATTTCATAATATACTCTATACATAGTTAAATGTTAATTAATATACATACATATTTACATACGTATAAGACTGTGTCAAATAAGGACTAATGTTTTTTTTTCTTTTGGTCCCATATCATAACTTCGTTGTCGGTGCAGAAAAATTTCAGTTAGCGCTCGCAAACATAACTATTTTTAATGAAAAATTCTTTTCCGCTACTTTTTTTAGTAAAAATTAAATATAACAAAAAAACCTGTAGCCCATTAAATTCGGGTATAATAAGTGCAATTTTGAAGTAGCTAGGACTTATTGTTGAGCTTTAGCTTTTTTTGTTGACAGTGTCAGTTATTTTCTTCCATACAAAGTGGGTTTATAAAAAAAAAAAATGAAACCTTCAACAAAAAAATGCCAAAAATTTACGGTTAATCCTGGTTTCTTCAAGTTTATTTTATTATACTTAAGTTTAATTGGCTACAAGGGTGTTTTTCTTTATTTCTTATAGTTAATTGTTTATTAAAAAAGTAGTGAAAAAAATTGTTTTCTTAAAAAATTCTAACTTTGCGAGCGCTATCTGAAAAATTAAGAATAGAGGCTGAAATTTTGCCACGACAATTTTTTGTGCCCAACAGCGAAATTCCATATGGGACCGAAAGAAAAAAATAGTCTGTAATATACACATATGTATGTCTGTATGTAAGCATGCATAAATATGTATTGTCCTTAAACTCTATTTATATACATATGTGGGTACTTTCACATAATTATCTTATTTTGAAAAAATAAAAATAAAATAAAAAGGTTTACTGAACGCAAAGCCATAGATACATGAGCAATTTTCAATTAGTTCGAACTGTCTCATGACTCGATAGTTAGTTAGGACACATAATTTTCGCTCCTTTATTAACAAAAATCTGGTAATATATCTTGTGTAGGTTATGTATGTAAGTAAAAAAACAGAACTACACAAATAAAAGCGTGACTCTCCTATTATTTTTTCTATTTTACGTTGCAAAATTTGGTGCGTTGATTGCTCATGTTTGAGCTTAAAATCAGCTGCAATCCGTTAGAAGTATGTGCTTGCAATGGAAAAGATGTTCTGAAGAGTACAAAGTGGCGTGACTCCTCTGGTTTGAAATTCTGATAATCGTGGCTTTTATAGTACACTGTGGCTGGTGCGTACCTAAAACTGTTATCGGA